TTTATAAGCCGTTCGTAATTAACTATTAAACTAGGACGTTTTTATCTTTTAATAAATAAATATAATACGTTAATAATATCGTAAATATCGTTTATTTTTTTATTAATAAGTTTTTTCCTTTTAAAAAATAATTTATAATTTTTAAATATTTTAATATTAAATTATATATTTAAAATATATCGGTTATATAAGTAGTCTTTTAGGTCCTTAATAAGTTAATTTAATTCTTTTTAAAAGCTTATAGATTTTTATTATTTTAATTGCTTATTTAAATCGGCTTCTTTTTTAATAATAAAATCGTTAATATTAAATAATATCTTATAATTAATTTTTAATTAAGTATATCGTCGAGCGACGTCGTAAAGTTCGTTTAAATTATAAAATAATTATTAGCTTATTAATTATTTATAATTTAATATATTAATATTATTTAAAAGGGGGTCGTAGTTTAGTCTTTTAGTATTAGATTCCGTAAATATATCGTTAGTTATTTTTTTACTTAAGTTATTTAATTTAGTGTTTTTTTTAAATATAGGGAAGTTTTATTTTAAACAGAGTATATCGTCTTTTATTATTATTTTAAATTATTTATATAACCGTTATTATAAAATAGTAAGGACTATTTTTATAATTAAATATTAGAGAATATAAGCGTCTATTGTATAATATATTTTACTTAATTTTTTAATACGTTAATAATAACGTTCTTTTAACATTTAAAATCCGTATATTAAATATATAATATTTATTTTTTTATTAATTTCGTATTCTAGTTAAAAAAGGTTTTTTTTTGTTTTAACTTTTAGTTATTTTTAAAATCGTTATTAAAATAAGGCGAGTATTGCTTTTATATTTAGTCGTCTTTTTTTTAGTAATTAGTTAATTTTATAATAATTAGTTAAGATACGAATATAGTCTTCGTTATAATCTTTTATTATTAAAAAGCGCTATTCATAATATTAAATTATTTTATTAAATACTCGTCGTATTATATAAATAAATTTATTTAGAATTCGTATTTTATAAACTAAAATCTTTTTTTTTAGCTAAAATAGGTCGTTTTTATTTTTAGTTACTATTCTTTTTTTTAATTTATTTTTTATTATTATAAAAGTTTACGTTCGTTTAGGAAAGTTAATAAGTTATGCTCTAACTATTTTATATATTATTAATAATATTTAGATATATTTTTTATTATAATCTTCGATAGTCTTAAGGCGTTAAATTGTTTTTTACTTATTTATTATAATAAGGGTTCTATTAAAGGGTTTTTTAAAGTATTATTTTAATTATTTTTTACTATCTCGGTAGGTAAAGTAATTATTATCGTAATATACGGTCTATAAAAGTAATTTATAAAATACTTTTTTAAAAGTAATTTTAATTTATTTTTTAAAAATAAGTTATTATTAAATTTATTTAGGTTATTTATAATTTTTAATTATATATCTTAACTTATTATAATTATAATATTTAAATTCTTTTTTTTAACGGGATTAATTTTATTTTATTATATTAAGGTCTATAAGTCCGTTATATTATTTATAAATAATAGTTTATTAAGGATTATTATTCCTATTATAGCAGTATTTTTAATTAAAGTTATATTAAAGTTATTATTAATATTTATATTTTAAATTAAGTTCTTATTATCGGTCCTTTTTTTCTTTTTTTTATTTATAAAAACGATTATCGATTTTAATTACGAATTCGATATATTAAAAGAAATTATTTAGTTTATTAAGTTTAACAAGTTCGTTCTTAACTTTATTTTTTAGTTTTTAGTAAAATATAAAGATTTTAATATTATTAATATAATTGAGTTAGGCGTTAAAGCGTTTAAACTTAGCTAAGTAATCTTTTATTAATTTAATTTATTAAAATTATAATATATCGCGCTCGGCTTATCGTTTCTTATTTAGATTTTAAAAAAGTAATTTAAATATTTTTTTAAATCTTTTAAAATTATAATAAATATTTTATATTTCGGAAGAGTATTCATTGAGAGTTTTTTTATTAAAGTATTTTTTTTAAAAGGGTTTAAATTATTTAAAAGCTCGTTTTTTAAAGAAATTAGCGGTATATATAACCTTTTCGATTTCGTTATTAAAATCTTTTTAATAAAAGTTTTAAAAATTTTTAATTTAAATTAAAAAAAATTTTAAAATTCTAAAAGTCTTATTAAAAATAATAAGTATATTAAGTTTAAATTTTTATTGTTTTTTATTAAAAAAGGTAATAACGATATTAATAGTATTTTAAAACGTATTTATTTAATTAGCGAAGTTTAAAGCTTTTTAATATTCGTTTTTAAATTTTTTAACTATAGTGTTAAATATTTTTTATATTTCGATAATATTACGGTTGTTTTTAATTTAAATTTTAATTAATTAGGTAATAATAATATTAAAAAGGTCCGTTAATTTTTTATTATATTAAGTATTTTAATTAACGACGCGGCGTATTTAAATATATATTATTTTATTAAGGACCGTATTTTTGTTAAAATTATATTTAATATTAAGTATTTTTATATCTTTTTCGATTTAAACTAGCTCGGCGTCTAAAGCCTAAGGCTTTTTATTTTTATTAAAAAAAGATTTAGTAAATATCGTTCGTATTATTTAATAAGTTTTTATAAAGTCGACTTATTAAATAAAAATAATTAAAATATTATAGCTAGTTAGTCGTAATAAGGTTTATATTAAAAGAAATTAAGGCTACGATATTTATAAATAATAATCGTTTTTAAAATAGTTTTAAAAAAGCTATTATTTATAAATCGTTAAATAAAAAGGTTTTAGTAATTAATTATAATCTTATTAATAAAGTTTTTAATAAAAATAATTAAAAATAATTGTTAAATTTAATATAAAAATTAATTATTAAAAAAGCTATAAAAATTTATTTTTAAACTTAGCTCGGGCTATCCTATATATAAATCTTAATCGTAAATATATTTTTTATAATATTTTATTTATTATTATCCGATCGTTTATTAAACGGTCGTTTATCTTATATTTTTATAATCGCTCGTTTTATTTATTTATAAGCGTCCGTTTTTTATTTTATTATACGATCGTAATTATATAGTTTATTTATAATTCTTTTATCCCGAGGGGGGCCGTTTAAGTTTTTATTATTATATATATAGTATAGTAGCCGCCGTAGGTCTTATAGGGCAGGGCCTTGGTCTGGTAATACGTATTAGGTCGTAATAGTTAATTTATAATTTATAATTATTAATTTCTAATTATTTAAAAAGATTTTATAAAATTATTAATATATAAACCGACGATATATTAAACGTATTTAATATTAAATTTATATAGAAAAAAGATAAAAAGTTTAAAAAAGCCGGATTTATTATTAAATTAAAAGAGATTTTTATTATTAATTATTTATTAATATTTAATAACGGGATTTTTATAATTAAAAGCGATATTATCGTTTTTTATTAAAAAAAGTAAAAAAAAAATTACTTTTATTAACTTTATATTATATAATTAATAAAAAAAATATTAAATAAAATAAGTAAAAAGATTATATATTATTAATATTTATTAATTAAAAGTAATATTTAATATTGTAAAAATAACGTAAACTATAGATTTAATTAAAAAAAACGTTACTATATTAAATAAATAGCTAAGTTAATAAATAATAAATTTTAATTACGGGCTAATTTATTATTTATTGAATTTAACTTCTATTAAGTTTTACATTTTTATTAACGGATTATTTATAAATAATATAAATTTAACTTTTTAATTTAAATATATTATTATTTTAATAAACGAGGTTATAAAAAACGACGAATTTACGATATATAATAATATCATTTATTATTTATTAATTAAAAATAAAAAAGTAATTAAAAACGTTTTAGTTTTAAAAGTTTATAAAATAATTAACGGCGTCGACTTTGCTTACGCGATCTCTATTATATTTAAATAAATTACGGATTAATTAATTTTATTTATAATATTAACGATTGTTTATACGGATTTTTATTTACTATATAAGTGTTTTATTAAATTAAATATTATTAAAAAAAAAGGTTAATAATAAATATTATAACTTTATAGTAATTTTATAAATAACGTAAAATTTTTAAAATTTATTAAATTAACGGCAAAAATAATTTAATAAACGCTTTTATTAAATAAAACTTAAACCTAAGTTTAAAACGATTTATTAATAATAAAACGATTATAATATATATAAAAAGATAAGTTATATAAAAAAAGTTTAAAAAAAAAGCGAAAAAAAAATTATAAATATTATTTTTATTAATATATTATACGCTATTATAAGATTATTAAATTACTTTTTTAATTATATAAATTTAATAATAAAAGAGAAATAGTTAATATTAGATTAAAGGCCTAATTCGATTTTAAATTAGCGCTAGCGTAGGGACTATCTAAGGGTCTTTATATTAGCGTTTAACCGGCGATTAGACTAACGGTTAGAACCTCTCTTTTCTACTTCACGCAGAGATTAATATAAGAGTAATTGACCCTTCGTCACTACGGTTCGATCGAACAAATCACCCTGTGATTACGTAAACCAACAGTTAGAAACAACTGTGTTGGTGCTTGGAAGCGGCCCTGTTTGGCTGATTGACCACTCTACTTCTCAAGCAGTTCTGACCCCGAGGTACAAGCTCAAGTGTCTTGAAGATCTCGAATGAGACATATTTAGCGAAACAACATTTTGATATTATAGCCTGTGACAGGTTGGCCACACACGGAGCCAACATTAGCAACCAGCAAGCCTCACCAACTGGGCCGGAAGTCCAACCTGGTGTTGCACACCAAGTTGACCTTGTTACAAATCCCAAAGAGATACTTAGGTAGTACGAGGGTGTACAAAAATAGCCCGTAAGTTGCCATCATGAACGAATATGCACGTTGAGACTATAGCGTAAGAGTGTTGACATACATCCCTAAAGGAGTTTCCATTCTATGTAACCCCAAAGCAAAACGGTGAAGTAATTACAAAAACTCCCGAAGACTCTCAGCCACGCTGACTAGATCCTCAAAGACATGCCAGTGGCCCACGTTGGGGAGCACAACCTGGCGAGAGCCATTGATCTTTCGCGCATATTCTTCGACCACCGCTGGGGAAGATGCCGAATCCTCCTGACCCGTGACCAGCAATGTCTCAACATTGAGCTCTTTGAGGTCAATATCACCAGCCGAAGCAAAAGCTGAACATACCTTGGCGTAAGCCTCTGGGTCCTGACCTGCGAGACTGAGCCGCACAGCAGCCACCGCCAAAGGGTTATTCTTCTTGGTATGACCTGAGACTTGGGACGCGACGACATCTTCGATGATTTCGGACAAGCCCTGGCTTCTCGCGAGAGCCACGGTACTGGCCAGATGGTCCTTTGTAGAGGGAAGGAGAGGCAAGGGGGGCGGTCCCAAGAGGACTAGTTTCTTGATATTTCCAGGATGGGCGAGGGCATATTTGATGGCGACAAGGCACCCAAAAGAGTGAGCAATAAGAGTCGGAGGCGAGGTGACGTCGGCCTCTGCTTCAACTAGTCCCAAAACATCCGAAAGATCTTGAGTCAGGGAGTCGACGGTGATTGTCTGAAGGGAGTGTGTTGGTGTCAAGCCATGTCCCGCGAGGTCATACACGTGTACCGAGGCGGACTTTTCGAGTTCGAGAGTCGATATCAATGGCAGCCAGTAGTCTTTGGTGCCTCCGAGGCTGTGGATGAGAATGATGGGGTCTTTTCTGACCCCAAAACGCTGGTGACCTGCTCCGAAGCGGCCAATCTTTTCTTGTAGGCCAAATTGCCCGTGTCTTGACTTTTCGCCGTTCTCGAGGCGAAATAGCTCGGAACACTGTTCTTGGATTCTGAGTTCGGTAGGGTTCAACTGCAAGTGATCGGCAACTCTATTCCTCAGAGTGCCTAGGCCAGAGATAGTAACGGCAATTTCGTCACCAGGTTTTAAAAAAACCGGAGGGACTCTGCCAATGCCAACACCGGCCGGCTTCGGTCGCACATAGTTAGTATCGTTCCACTTAAATGCAAAACCTGTGAGAAGAGGCTTACAGTGCCGGTGGCGATAACATCGCCCGGCTGGAGCGTCTGGCCAGCAGACAGCGTGCTGATGAGATGAGGGATGGAGAAGATGAGATCTCTGGCCGTAGCATCTTGACGTAGTTCTCCATTAACATGAGTCTGCAAGCGCAAAGATCGGCCCCAATCTGGTAAATCCTCCTTTCGTACAGCACTCGGGCCCTGATCAGATATCATCAGCTTAAACTTACAACTTACAGCTATAATTCAAGCTGGAAACATACCATTGGACAGAAAGTGTCTGCGGACTTGCCGATGTAGAACTGCTTGTGGTCTCTTTGTCGTTCTCTAGCAGTGACGTCGTTGATGATCGTGTATCCCCAAACATATTTCCAAGCCTCATTTTCATGGATCCTGTACCCAGATTTACCAACGATAACCCCAATCTCGCCTTCAAAATCAGCGCTTTCGGTAAAACCGTCATGGATGTGTATTTCATCTCCATGGGCCACGATCGATGTAGCGCGCTTTGTAAATATGACAGGATGGCTTGGCAAGTCCACCTTGTCAGAGCTATCGTAGCCCGAGCTATTAAATTCCTTTGCGTGTTCCATGTAGTTCTTGCCAACAGCCAGGACATCTCGGCCTGAGATAGGAGGCAGTAGCTTCACATCCTGCACGCTTAAGACTGGATCAGCAGCAATGTATTCGTGAACGCCTGCCACAATGACCTGGTACAAGTTCTCAACAGGTGTTCCGGAGTTGAAGCTGAGGGGCTGGATACTTTGCGATTCTACGTCGAGATGTCCGACTCGCGGAGAATTGTTGACGCCCTGCTGTCGATAGGCGACAAAGTTTATAGGATCTTTGCTATGCATCGTCATGGCTGTTAGTTGTGACGTTTCGTAGTAACTATATCCGTAAAGTGCATGAAATGAAGCAGGAACTCAGACTTGTTGCAGCACAGGTACATGTTGCATACATGTTGCAATAAGATAAGGGCAAAATGCCAATCGATGATACCATTTCCCACGAATCTGGTCATGTTGTGTGACCCACCTGTCACTTAATATGGATCCACTGTTGAGGGGTTGCAGAGCATTGCATGAACAGCATCAAGACCCCAGGTCGCTTCAAAGGTTGTGAAAAGCTTAACAACTGTAATTATTTGACAACCTCGCTCCGGAGTGCATCATCAATCACTCTAGGCTACATATCTACCTCTCGTCTTTTAGCACGGTTGGCCTTACCTCATAATTGCGTCAGAAATAGTACCTTTTTCTTCCATTGACCTTCACGTAAATGTCTAAGTCATTTCGTGGTCAAAGGTCAGGTCTATTGTTGTGCAAGTACTATCTGTTGATTTGCGACCTGGGCTCTCCCAATGAAAACACACAGAGTAACCGAGTATGTCTCAAGTTTTTGTGAACACTTCCAGAGGCAGAGTTGTCAGCTACCTCTCGGACCCGGCTTAGTCTCGAAGAGAAAAACCATGTAGTCAGTTTTTCGTTGCCAATTTGCCTTTCAAACGCCGCTTTTCGAGTTGTATTGATGTTTAGTGTTGAACTCGATGTTTCCACTCGGTGTTTCCACTCGGCATCCAGAATCTACTACCGGTGTCCGAGTCGGTTTGTGGCATCGGCATTTGCTGCAGTCAACTATGAGTGCCCGTTCGTCCGTTCGCTCTCCGTAACGGCGACTGGCTTCGTGCTGCGCCGGACTTAAGCAGCCAAATATCCATTCGGGAATGCGTCACCGCGGGGGCAATGAATTTCTTCGTAAGAGTAAGCGCGATCTCGTCAGTGATGTCGCAGTCAGACGACTCGATGTTATTGGCTTTCGTCGCCGAACCATATCACTTTCAGCTGTCACTACATGAAGCTTACCAATCCACAGTATTTGTCTACCTTGGTTTCCAACATCGTCAGCAGCGATTCTACACGTCGGGTCAGCTCTTCAGACCTGCGGGATTCACTGTTTCCCACATCAAGCATTCCCCTACCACCACCACCGCCGCCGCCACCGTCCAGCCATGGAGCCTAACAACTCATTCGTTCTCAAAGATGTCAAAGTATTCACTGGAAACGATATTTTCCACATGGGATATGTACATGTGACGAATGGGACTATCACCCAAGTTGGTGTTGGAGACTTTCCTGGAGATGTCAAGGACGGAATAGCAATCATTTCGCAGCCTGGTGATACGGTGATTCCCGGATTAATTGATGCTCATATTCATGCGCTCGGTGGTGACATCAACAGCATCGAGCAGTCCTTGCGGTTTGGTGTCACTACGGTTTGCGACATGCACAACGAGCCCATTGATAACGCCAAACTGAAGGAGGTGAGTTCGCGGACACAATCTGCTTTGAGCAAAACATCTTTGAGTAAAACTGACTTCAAAATAGTTGGCTAGCATCTCGGCGAACAAATCTATTTACGCAGACTTTAAATGTGCTGGTGTGGGTGCCGTCATTGAAGGCGGATGGCCTATTCCGGTGATCAGAAAAGTATTCGCCAACAACCCGTGCGGAGATCACATCGTTGACCAGATCGTCTCTACATGGCCAATTTTGCATGAGCCGGAAGATGCGGAACCCTTTGTCGAACAACAGGTTGAAGAGAATGGGGCATCCTACATCAAGATGTTCCACGAGATTGGCGACACTCTCGGCATGGACCTTCCACGCCCTCCAATGGATATCCAGAGAGCCGTTGTCGCCGCCGCCCAAAAGTATGGTGTCATCACTACAGGCCACGCATTCAGCTATGCTGGTGCTATGGACCTCCTCCACGCCGGTGCCGACGGGTTGAGCCACATGTTCTTTGACCAGCCACCCAGTGATGACTACGTCCAGATCATGTTGGACAAAAAAGCGCATTGCAATCCGACACTCGGACAGTGTGCCTCCCAGACAGTGGAAGGTCAAGATTTCCAGAAGTCGTTTTTTGAGGACCCGTTTGCACAAAGACTGCTCATCCACAAGACCGCCGGAGAGCCTATGGGGCTGGCGGCCAAGCAGAAGCCCAAGGCGTCTGTTCTGAATGCATATTCAAACACCGCCGCCTTGTACAGAGCAGGGGTTCCTCTCATTCTGGGAACTGATGCTGCTGGAGGAAGCATCGGTCTACCTTACGGCCTCGGGATGCACATAGAGATGCGTATGTTTATCGAGGAGGTGGGCATGTCTCCATTGGATGTTCTCAAATCCGCTACATCGATCACTGCAGAACGGTTCAAATTTCATGATCGTGGAAAGGTTGAGTGCGGGAGAAAAGCAGATCTGGTGCTTGTGGAGGGCGATGTCCTAGAGGCGCTGTCTGAAAAGAACGGGAGATGTCTTCCCATCAAGGCAGTATGGAGAGACGGGGTACTAGCTTCAAGTTTCTCATTATGAAGAACTTCAAATTTTTCTGCTTTGGTCAGGGAGTGAATCTGCTTCTTGATACAAAATCATTGAATCAGAAATTGATTAGAGACATGCAGGTAGCAAGCAGAACACAAGAGAGGAAGTCATCTGGGACAATCAGAGACCGGTACAAGTACAATTAGCCTTTCAAAGATCCCTAGGCAGTACATTACGATTTAGCCAAATAAGATTGACTTTTTTTACTACAGTGGTTCCAACAGTAACAAAGTCTGTCGTGTTCGAGTCGGAGCATTTATGCTAACATGTGGAACTCAAGCATAAAAAGCCTTCCGGCGGTTCTTTTGGAGCAATATGCCCAAGCAGCCATCATTTCTACAGCTTCCAGTAATTACATGTACCCAGCTACACTGGTCAAAGATGTAAAAGTATGGAGGAAAGACATGCTTCGCATAAGACTAAACTCTGTCCTGGCTATAGCGAGAGTTGGATAGCGTGTGATTGCTTACATCACCAACTGATCTGATGAAATTAGGCATGGCAATTGTCCCATTTTCAAGAACGATATAGGCAGTGGTTTCGGGCATTCAGAATAGACTTCTAGAACTCTAAACGGCCAGCAGATTGGTTATGGGGATGGTTCCATGTGCTCTGGCTCATCTTTCCCGATGGCTGATTGAGCAAGCGACTTGATCTTCCGTGACCGGGTTGAAAACTTCATTAGATAGTAATATTTTGTGTTCGAGATTAATCAATCAGAAGTCCAGAGCATGGGACAACTTGGACCTTGTTTGACGCACCCCGGCGCTTTCCTCATTCTGGGATGCAAGTCATCTCCTCGTAAACTAGCTACAAACCCTGAATAATTGTTTCCAGTAAACTTCACCAAGTCGAACAGTTTTCAACAGGTTCATCCTCACATCACAATACATCCGTTCCACTCGTATTTAACTTTATCGATCCTAGGAGCTGCCCTGTGAATATTCATAAGGTAACGTACTTCGAGTGGAGTGGAGGAGAACGATATCACGTTTTCCACAGAGCTCGTTGAGTTCCCCAACGAGTACCCACTTCTGCTCTCATTTTCTTGGCCAAAGCGTATTTTGCCTTGAGGTCACCTTGCTATGCCCTTCTTGAGAGGAAATGGCATGTCGGGTTACTCTGCATAAGCAGGCTCTCTTGGCAACTGGTTGTAAGAGCCTGGACATGGCTTAGAGAGCCTGCGGCAAGGCATCCATTCCACGAAGCCCACACAGATAAGGGAAGCACATCGGACCAATCTCGCGATGGCTGACGTGTGCTTGGGATACGTGCTCGAGTGGACGCCAGTCAAATACGGCGGGTATCACGCAACCCTTCGGTGAGGCGGGAGATGCAGGTAGAGGTGCCGTACATGATAGCGCTGACCAGCCACCAGCCTGTGGAAGTGGGGTTCTGTCTGACATACAGCCAGCCTCAAGGCAACCGAAGCGATGTCGCCCGATCACAGCCGGTCAGAGATTAGGCAACCAATGAGGCCGCTGTAGACGTTCAAAACCTGTGGAACACAACCACATCCAGGAAACCGATCCTTCTGGCTTGAGCTTATTGGGGGCCGGTGGCAATACAGTCGAAGTCCGAGCCTGATCGCGGAGACTCTGACACAATCTGTGGGCTTAATTCTCGCTATCCCTCAAAATGTGCAGGAAGATTGGATTAAGCCCTTCGCATTGTTCCCCGCAAATAGCTGGAATTGTCATATCGGTCGCGCGATGAGAGTCTCAACCATTATTGGATATAGGATCCGACGAGATGATCTCGAGGCTTGGCTTCAGAACACTCAAGGCGCAGGTAACTTCGAATTGACAGTAAGCCTGCTTCGTTCCCCGTGTGGAATAAAGAGAGAGAGAGAGAGAAAGAGCTGACTTGTGTTCAATCAGACCAAGGACGGCGACTATGTAATCACGGCTCCACAAACAATCACTCAGGTAAAACCCAGGTTTCGAACTCAAGTCTTACCCGAAGCTGATCGAAATGATGTGAAGAACGACGTCAAGCACCTGAAGATTCCCAAAAAGAAAAGGACCGCCAAATCAGGCTAGGATTAGTGACTGGTTTGTCAATGTGGTAATTGGTCGCAGCTGGATATCCTAACCCCCACGGAAGTTTCAATCCATGGAGCGCGAAGCTCTGTCTGGCGGAATTTGGAAGCATGTGTGTTGGCTGCTGGGCTAAGGCATTGGGGCCACAGGCGGAGCGCCTTTAGAATACGCTGGTATTACACTCCTCTCAACTGCCTCAATACATGTCTACCACGTTCCCTAAGGCAGACTCCTGCATACTCAGGCATGTTACTGCGAGACATGCGACGGAGGGGGCTGTGTTTAAGGAGCTCTGCAAGGCAAACCGCACCCACAGCCAGTAAAAGTCTTTCGACCCATCCTGACCCCGACCCCGCCACCCGACCCGGAATATAGATGTTGTCGGTCTTAAATGTAGCTAGCCCTCCTCTAGCTCTTCTTAGGGCGGTCCGAATTCCAAGAAGAATTGAGCCAAAGCCGAGTTATACCAGCCCTACCGTCTTCAATATTGGAACTCTATTATCCTCATTCGTTTGATCCTAAGGCATCGACACGAGAAGCTCTCACCATGCAGGCATATGAAACGTACGACCGATTCCTGGAGCTTTGCCGTGACTCCAATCAATATCCCCGATTACAGCTTAAGATACAACAACCTCATGAGGCCCTTTATGGGGAACAGCAATGGGAAAGCCTCCAAACGAGGAGCTGCTCTCTATTTGATGACGATTCATCGATGATTACTTTCTGGGAAACCGGAAGACGCAATAGTAGGAAGAAAGAACATCCTCATTAACCTAGGTCGTTAACCTAATGTCAATAGAATTTCCACATGCGGAACAAACAGTTTCAGATGTAGATGCCCTTCGATTACATCTGAATCGTGGGGACCAAGATCCACATGTTCGTCATGTGTAAGTTGCTATATCTCACTCTCGAATTGCATTTCCTGACAAGCCATGAGAAGCTTCGTGGGCGCAGACGACTCTAGGTCACCTTTGAGTTGCTCTATGGACATGTTCAAACTCGTCTGCTCCTATCACCAAGTCGACCCCTCCTTCATGGAGCCAGTCTTTGCTTTTGGCCAGCAAAATGAGCCTCTTGACCTTTGCTTGGCCCAATTCAAGGGCAGTGACACGCTTAGCTGTCCCGCTGAGAGCCTCACAGCGCTTCCTAGGCTCGGCCGTTCCGGTCGCGAAATCCAAATGTCTTATCTTCTCCGGTCTGCTGAGTCTTCAGACAGCGGCAATGGCGTCTGGGACTGGCAAATTCGTCAAGTCGCAAACTATCATTCCTTTGACGTGAAAAGCGGACGGGCCTTCTGGTTTACTATCAAGGCAGATGATGCTTTTGAAGACCGTATTAAGAAGACAAGTCCACTTCTCAAAATTCCAGCAAAGACGGAAACCCAAGATGGAGACGTTTCTCTGTATCTTCAGGCCTCGTTGGCTACCCATTTACTCCACTTATCATGGTGCGATGAGAATTGGCGCCAGTTCATCAACGATACTGAGGCAGCAATCCGACTGATTGTGAAACCAGCGAGCAAAGCGATTGTAGATGATCTCATTGACAAAGAGTCTAGCTTCCTGAGCACATTCCCAAAGCCTTTGAGAGACTCCCGTAACCCAACCATGTACTCGAAAAGTCAATCTAGGTCAGCCACGGATACGATAGCCACCACGGTCGGTGCTGGTGATAACAAGACGTCAATCTTGACCTGGATGACAAGTGGAACAGCCTCAACACTCAGCTCTTGGCTTAGACAGGAAAAATCCAGACAGGCTGACCCGGAGATCGGTGGCCAGAGCCACGCTTGGACATCAGAGTCGAGACCATCATTTCCCCAGCCGGATACATGGGAAACCCTCGACCAATTTCGGTTCAAAGACATACAAACTCTGCATAAACACTCCGAAAGCATACATCGGGCCTCTCTAGCCCTGGAACTAGACATTGGCGTTCTTCGCGACATCTGCAACTTCTACTCCCAAGCCGCTGCAACCGAGTTCCAAGGCGATGTTCCGTGTGAAGCAGCGATAAGCGGCTTTATCAAAGAGGTCCAGTCTATCATCAGGAGGTTGGAGACCCGACTGCAGCAAATGCGCTGCTTGTCCATCATCCTAAGTCAAAGTGTACAGTTGGTAAGCATAATGAGAAACATGGCAAAATGCGTAAATTGAGCTAACGTGAAACTTCAAAGTATGAGCGATTGCTCCAACAGCGAACAAACCATATCGGCAACTGGTTCGCCGAAATTGCCCACGAGAACACCAAGCAGATGCAAGTCATCACAGACAAGACATCGAAAGAAACGACTTCGATGCATGTCATCACAATCGCGACCCTCATTTTTCTACCGGCTACCTTCGTTGCAGTAAGAACTGCTTACCCGAGTCTCTCCGGGCTAATATGAACTTCTGACGCAATGGTAGACTTTCTTCCAGAGTGGAGTGTTGCTTTGGAAAGAAGACGGGGTAGAAGACATGACGGAACCGTTTGTTTGGAAGCGCGATAGCTTAATGCTCTTCTTAAGTTTCTGCGGTCCTCTGACCGCGGCCACAATTGGCGGCTGGTTATTCATGTGTGTACGACTGAGGAAAAAGGCACGACGGAAAGCTTGAAGGCTGTGCCAACTGCGTATTGCGAGCAACAATACATCATAATTAGCATAGAGCCGAAGGGGGTCCCTCACCGCTCCGTATCCTACGGAAATGGATTTCGTTTCCTATGACTTTAGTACATAGTTAACATCGAATATTCACCGACCTCCTGCTTTCAAAGGAACCAATAGCCACCATTGACCGTTTCCGCTAGGGAGGGAGGCGTGGGTCTTGCAAACGCACCATTCTGCACGTCATGCAACGCCGCCGAGGCGTGCAGGAAGCCGCTTCTTCCGCTCAGTGACGAGTAAGGCACAGTGAGTCTGACAATTCCAGCATGCGACATACCTGATAGCCCAGGCTGCATATCGAATGGATTTCTCTGCCGATCAGGAGTAATACAACCCATCCCCTCCATGCAGGCTGTCCCTCCTCAATACCCTGTCAAGCCGAACCTGACCAATAATGGAGCGAAATTCCCACCAAACGCAGAGCAAGCGCACTGGTGTGTCTGAAAGCTGAGTCGATGCCTAGAAGCCACTAGTTGCCTCATTAGTTCGCCAGAGTGATATTACATTTATAATGATGTGATCAACCGTATTAGACAAGCTGATGTTGGCTGGAAAATGCTGCCCCAAATCTTTCACGCACCAGAGCCCCCGGAAAAAGCCAAAAATCTGTCTGAGATTTGGCTCGATGACCCTCAAACCAAGCGGCTCTGAACTCTCGATCAATCATTGCCCGTGTTCTGATTCACTTTGACCTCAGTGCGCTTGTCCTTATTCAAAGTTAACATCATCTTCATTTAGCTAAGCAATCTGGTTGGCAATCTGTCCAATTCAAACTAGCCAGTTGTCATTTCCCCACATTCTCCAGCTCTCAAAAACGGAAGAAATGAAGCAAGACGATGTTATTGCTGAATTCAAGCGATATGTCGATCAGTACGTCATCGATCACAAATGCTACGGCATGCGAGGTTACGAGGATGAGCCGGTGGCATTTGTTCCGCGATGTGCGCTGGTGACTTTCTGGACGACGGACAACGTGAGACGCGTTTTTTACAGTCGAGAAGACTGGATCAGAGACAGCACTTCCACTATTCAGGCACATTACCTCCACGTTTTCTCCATTCTCGTCTACATGTCGCAGCCTCAGCACATATCGCTGTTCACAGAGTGTTTTATCAAAGACACATCATTGCCACTGGATGAGACACGGTTCGCATTTCTCGAGGGAGAAGAGAAAAGAATCTTTGAGGAGTTCCACAAGGAACAGTGGAGATTCTACCCCTTCTTGTTCGAAACTGAAGGAGGGCCCAAACAGCGTAAACTACATCTTCCACCACTACAGATCATTCCTATCATCTCGAAGGACCCGATCAAACATTCAGGGGATGTTCAAGACGATACCGTTTGCGTTTACCGAGTGAAATTGCATCCACTTTGCTTTGCTCAGCAGGTAAGTACATCAGATATATCCCAAATGCTCAAAACCTAACTCCCTTCTGATACATTCTACCAGGAGGTAGTTTTCAAAATCTATCGCGATGTTGACTCGGAGGTCAATCAAAGTTACGAGAACGAAGTAGACATGTACACACAGCTCGATGAACAAGCGTCATCATATGATTCCATCATCAGATACTTTGGCTCATTCGAGATTCCTGGTTTCCGTACTATAGTTCTCGAGTATGCTTCAGGCGGAAACTTGAAATCTTTCTTCGAAAGATACCCTCCTCCTCTGGCTCACTCAGATCGCATCCTCTTCTGGGACAATCTCATGGGTCTTTTGGGTGGCCTAGATGCAATACACAATCTCAGGAAAAGCCGAGGGGTTAAGGGAGCTTGGCTACTCACAGGGTCTGTTACTAAAACATTCGGTTCCACCAAGTCTATGTCTTGCTAATCTCCAACATCACAGAACTCATCAGGATATCAGGCCGCAGAATATTTTGGTCTGCCCTGGTACCTCTGACAACATATCCATATATGCTGCAAAATTCAAATTCGCAGACATGGGGACTGGCCATATTCACAGAGCCAGACACCAGGGATTAGGATTGAATGCCCAAGACCACTCAGGGAATGGGATGTATAGTAAGGCTGAGCGCTTGGTCTGAAACAATTTTGGTATCAATTAGCTGACTCTGCTATTCCCTAGGTGCTCCAGAAGCATACAGAGATCATGGCGACTCAACCACAATCCAATGGGAGAGCGACATTTGGTCCCTTGGAGGGGTCGCCAGCGAAGCTTTGGTCTGGACGAGATGGGGCGAGTATGGGCGCATCATGTATCAGAAAGACCGAGTGCTCGAAACTCGTGAATCTCCCTTAAACGGCGGATTTCACGAGGGAGCTTTTTATGACGGAAACCCGTTCGGAGCATGCCTTCTGAATGCGGTGGACTCATGGCATAGTAAAGCTATCAGCTATGCCGGTGAGGAGTCTCAATGGCTTTCAGAAGTGAGCAACTTTCTTCTGTCGGGTATGCTTTCGACAAATCCTAGAGATAGGCATAAAGCCTTGGAGCTTCACGATGCATGGAAGAGCAGATTACTCAACGGCCCTCACTTGGTTGAGCCACACGAAGAGCAAGATTCGTTTCTGTTCAGGCCTTCAAGGCCCCGGTCAACATCTCTGCGAAGGGGAACTAGTCCGCTGAGTTGGCATCCTGAAGAGAATTCTGCCGACACAGTGCCGCATCGACCAAGGCATGGGCTCGGAAGCTTTTTGAATCAGGAAGGGCATTTGTCTGTGCCAATTCACAATCAAACAGCACCGGAAAATGAACAGAGATCTTTCGATTTGAATAGAGCACTAGAGTCTTCGCCAACCAATGCCGTCGCAAACGCTCTGAATATCTGTCCTCAGACGACCTCACCAACTGAAGGGGGATCTCAATCGATAGGAGCTTCAGAACAGCCAGCAAGACGAGACATCCCCAGTCACTCCTCAACGCATGAACACCAGAATGAGATTGTCTCACATCATCATCGGGAAGGATTACCACCCTACACAGGACCACATCTTGGGTTCTCTCCTCCGAACCATCTTTCATTGACCCCGGGACTTATCCCCTCCAACGAGCCCCATGTTGAGACAACGATTGAGCCAACGACTGAGACAACGATGGAGAATATCTGGAACTTATGCATAGAAGGAAAGGAGTATCGCCCACGCTCGCCATTCAGGAGGATGGGAAGCACGAGATCCAATCTCAAAGGACAGCCTCTTAAGGCATTCCCGCAACTTATATCATCCCTTCAAAAATTGAAAGGAGAGACAGGCCGTGATCAGGTAAGACCATACTTGGGCCACCTTTGCTTCCCACTCTAATTATCGTTTTCTCAAGATCTTTCTCGTGGATGACTCGAGGTCGATGATGCCTCACAAGAAGAAGGTGGCCACAAGCTGCCAAGTTCTCTCGTACTTACTCAAAAAGGGAGGAGTCGACCCGAATGCAACCTTTGAAGTCTACTTCACCTCATCTTGTCATCCAATCCAGTCGACTAGAACCTCAAAGCTCAAAGAAAGCATAGAGAATATGGATTTCCTTGAAGAACAATGCAACATGGGCCCAAGTTTGGACGAGGTGGTCAGCAAAGCTATAGTGAATCCCAAGCCGGTCAGCATATACGTGTTGACAAACGGTCACTGGAACCTTAGGAACCAAGACAACTTCTGTGGTGTCGATGGACCTATCAGACGCCTGGTGACCCATCTTAAACAGGCCAATGCTCAACAGAACTGGATCGGTGTTCAGTTTATTCGCTTCTTTCTCGACCCGGCCACCGCTGCTGATAGGATTGGGGAGACTCGGTTGAAAGCGTTAGACGATGATTTGAAGAGAGAGACTGGAATGTAAGTTGACACTCGACTTGTTCGCAGCAACAAACAACTGCAATCTATTGTGATTAGTATCACTGACGCCCACTCAGAGATATCGTCGACACAAGAAATTTTGACGCAGATGTACGCAAAATCTTACTTGGTTCAGTCGTACCAGATGAGGACAACTCTTGAATCTTGAGGGGGTGAACGTACTTTGGCTCAGAGAACTTGGCCGACGTGCACGTTTCTCAGGGGCGTTCAAGGCGTTAGGAGCGCGGTATATAAATAAGACACTAGCTCATTCGAATGGAACTCTTTCGAAGTTAAAGTTGTGGTCTTTTCTCTTGACTACCAATGTTCTCAGTTGAGCTATCACTTGGGAATACAATGGTTGTAACAGGGCTCCAGAAAGGCTATGAAAGTTGCATCGTACTACTGTGCTTTCCTGGCATTCACCTATATGTTTCAGAGACGAAAAGAATTATTGCGTAAGTCTGATTTGGGCTAATTTATACTTGTGAAACTGTGTGCAAATGCCTCTATCAATCTTATGCCGACATGAAAGAGATAGTTGGACACTAACTTACTTCCACTAGTCAGCTTCCAACCATGAGGAGATGTTTCTAGCGTGATTTTCACTCTACGATCATCTTTAAGACCAATGGAGATGGGAATGAGGCCAGTTTTGACAACCGCATACAAGCATTGGATTTCTTACATCATCTCTCGATCCTCTGAAGTGAGAGGCTGAATATAAAGCACTGACGGTTGGAAGAAGGCCTACCAGCAGTGGCTCATTGCAAAGGAGCCCTAGTGAGATTTTATGAACTGGAAGGGACAGTAAGCGGCCCTGGAATGAGCAGGCAAGGAGACATGAAACGTCCTGAGAGTAGGCGGTCTCTAAACAACCCCACGTCTCAATATATCAATTCTTTTTCCAACGTGTGCCGATGTGCTCTGTTCAAGAATGGTGTCGCCTTACTTCCGGTATCTCGATTCATGCCAGATGTGTACGATGCACTCTAAATATTGGGGACACGAGATTCCTGTTTCCAATAACGCTTTTGGTGAGCTCCGTGTCATTGCATTGTGATATGCGACAGTGCCAACGTCGATTGCGTTAGGGATCTGCTCCACCACGTGGCCATACGGGCGTACGATTGACATTGGACGGTGGGCAGATCAATGCGGTTCACATGCAAAGACATCGACCCGTAACTCAGTCAGGCCGCAGATGTCTACTAGCTAGCGAATCCGAGAAGACCCTGGGACCATCTATCCGTCACATTAAATCATCTACCTGTTGATCTGCCAGCTTCATCGGTTCAGATTCCAGAGTGAAAAGGCTCAGAAACGCTCGCACCATGAACTCTGGTGTCATGGAACGTGAAGATTGGAGATTTGGCGTTCGGGCCTGATCGTTCCTCAGGTTTCCATAACCGTTGCTCTGCGGGAACTCCGGGACTGGCGTCATAATCATCATGTCCAACACCACCATCTCCTTTCCAAACTTACTTGGCTTTTTCTCTGGACGTGATTGTCGCCCAAAAGTCAGTTTACAAGGTCTGTTCAAACAGATATCGGACTCGCAAGAGCTGGAAGCACCATCTGAAGTTTCCAGTCGAGGGCCAGGGAGGATTCATAATCTTAAACAGTCCGGGCTCAGTCTGGCCATGACGTGATCGTCTCAACTTGTCCCGGCGGGAATCTGTGATTCTCCCCCTCGGAAAGCCATGACTGATAGCTGTTCGGGCCGCCCACGAAAATCTTCTGACAGCTTGGTGTTCGAGAATCACGTGCAATGTCTGAGAGGAGTTCTGCACAGTAGTGTATTGTTCGTGGATCTGCCGCAGGTTCTGAAACAAACCCTTTGAGAGGCCCACCTGTCATGGTTTGATCCTTTGCAGCCGTTGATCAGACAAGTTGAGATTTCATGACACAGGATTATTCCCCTGTAAATTTTGAATCGAATCCTCCAAAAGTCAGCTTTCCGTCGGCAGAGCGATGCATTTACTGCCCACGCAGTAGAGTTGCCGGGTGGATGTCTAAGCCGAACTGTTGGGGTGGTGTTTCTGAGTTCAGCTGAGCAGGTTTTGGTAGATGTGATATGGTTTCGGGACACGGCATACCCCTGCTGCGCTTACGGTTCCGTAAATTTGGAAGCTCGTACACACGGACTCTGAATTACGTTACGTTACCTCATTAAGTCTGGGTTGAAAATCGTCCCGTCCAAGGTTCGAGCATCGGCTTCCCAAAGTTGTTGATACCGCACTCTCTCTGCATCAGTCTGTCGTCCTTGCGGTCTTTGAGGGGTCATAGACATCTCAGCGGCGCGTCAACTTAGAGTTAGTGTAGTGCTCTGACTTAGAGTTGGCATAGTGCTCTGACTCAATAATGGCACGGCTGCGAAGTTCCACATTAGGAGGTGCATCAACACCTCATGAAATTCTCCCAAGATTGACCATTGTCTTTGCTGTTGGCAAAACGATTAAATTGGTATGTCGTTATCTAACAGGTTGAATAAGAGGCTCATGGATTGGTGGGCCTCACTCCGATATTGTCTTCCAAATGAAAGAACAATGCTTGGACCGTCTCGCATCGCGGGGTCCTGTTTTAGTTTTTTTGAACGCCAGTGTATCATACCCGTCTCTGGCCTTGGGACATGCTCCTCGTCCTAGACTGCGCCGATTGCTCGCTTCCTGCTCGTCTTTTTCTAGATACTCTCATCTTAGTCGTTAAAATGGTATGCGTCAAATCATTCGTGTAGTTGCCTCAGTTCTTAACCCTCGAATCCCGAGCCGACCGGCTGGCCCGCTCGACCCGACGATCGCCATGGGTGGGCCGTGGGGTGGAGGAACCCCATCGCTCAGCTTCGGAAAGAAGACCGTCTTTGATGGAAGCGCCTCTTTTTGATGCCTATGACGGTAGAGTGTGAGATCCAAGAAAATCGGTTGTATTTGTGAAGCTTTCACATACTGCGCAAAGATGGCATCTATCGCCAAAACGGGAGACGGTATTGTGGCAGTGAATGGAGCCCTGCAGAGTCACGTGAGCCGACCGATCGCGCTACCTCGCGATCTTTCGAGGACGTACGTAGTAGTTGGAGCAGTAGTAACCCATGGTGAGGATTGTTTAGATATGTGAAGATTTGGGTAGGACAAAGGTGTCAAGTGGACGTTTAAATTGGTGAACGTGGGCGAGATAGTAGAGTGGATATTGGAATTTTTGAAGGGATGGACCAGCCTGGATACGATGGGAGATTGAGCAGATTTTTCTGATTTTCGCGGGACGTCAAAGAATGCCAAATCGCTTGAATGACCAGGAGCAGATGGAGGAGCAGGGCTTGGGAGAAACTTATACCATATACCCCAAACGCCACCGGCGGCCAGACGCCTGCAATGGAGAAGGTCCATTAATAACACACGCTCTTGGATAGTCCGGCAAGTTTCTTTGCGGCGGCAGAGTAGCAGGCCACTGCCACTTGGCTCGCTTTGCGTCGTCCGCCTCAACGAAACGAAACAAGCCTCGAAGACCGTGACACCTGTCCAGGGCTCGCCCTTTCAGGAGCTCCCAGTCGGCTTGTGGCCCGACAGGCAAGTCGAACTAAGCCTAATAATCATCCGACGAAATGGCTTTCACCGTGTCATACAGGGGGAAGGGAGGGAATGGACGGATCAAATCTGGTGGAAGAGCGATAGGCACCGCCTTGGACACCATGAGTAACAAAGGGCGAAAAGAGGGGACGGTGTTGAAGCCCTGCGGGCCTGTATTGGGCCAAAGTTTCTGCGTGGTCAGTGCTTCACTGGCACGGTTTCCAGCTTTCCGGGAACCCAGCGTGCGCCCCTTGGCCCCCCTTGGCCCCTTTGTTAGTTGTTTGCTGCTTGCAGTTGTTGCTGCGTGCTCCTGGTCCTTAGCTGGCGCTGTTGGAGTCCAGTGCAAGGGAGATAGCGCTTGGTTGTGTTTGTAGCAGTCCGTGGGGTTTGTCTCTTGATGACAGGCGGCGACCCGACTCACGACGTCTAACATTGGCGGCCCAAGAAGGGAAGAAACATGAGGCAGGACGGTACCAAGACACGAGATGTGCCAATGCTAGGGAGATTTGCGGGGAACATCGCTGAGCGTGGCAGGTGTTATCTGGGGGCGAAGGGCGTTTGCTAGGCGTGCTTGGTTTCAGATGGGACCGAAGTGCAGAGTATGGTACACAAAGTAGGGACGGAGTGGCTCAGAAGGGTACGTGTGCGTCTCTTGGAGAGCGGGCCCGCTCGCATGCGCGGCATGGTACTCAGATCAACCGGGTGTATGCTATTTGTGGTGATGACAGCTGGTGTTCCGGAGAAAACAAATGCAGGTTAAGCCTTGCTTGAAGTTGATGGAGAACGGAGGATCCTCTGCCCGGCGGCGGGTTATGCGGATGGAGCTGGCCGAGACCGTTCGGAGGGGTTCCACGTCAGCAGTCCAATGGTATTGAGTCAAGATAGGGCTACAAACTCCAAGGAGCATTGGCAAAACTGTGATCTGATGGTCTCATCCACATTATTGAGGTCTCCAGAATATGGAACAACAGAGACTTTGGGAGCCGGAGGAGACTAGATTGAGACCACATACCATGCCGCGGGTTGCGGGTACCTTACCTCACCCTTCCTAGCAAGCCGATAGACCAATGCGGGCCGCTACGGCGCCTCAAGGCGGCGGCTAATGCCTTGGAGTTCAGGTGAGGCAGCCCCAATGAACGGCCAATGAATTTGCATATCCCTTCAGAAATGATCTATGCGCTTGTGAAAGCCAAGGAGAAGTGAGAAGACGTCACGAGTGATGGATAGTATATCGAACTGAGTGAGAGCGAGTGAAGATGTAAGTGTGCCTTGAGATGAGTAATAAGCCTGTGACAGCTCAGAGATGATTATGTAACGACCCATGGCCATACCTCGCTGACACAGCACTGAGCACGTGCGAGGAGGCTAGTTAAGGCTAAGGCAGGTGGGGCCCTTGGATCCGAGCTCAAACTCTCCCATGAGCTCCGGGACGAGTTCCATCTCTTAGTGATATTTCGCATCATCCTACTCCAAGGTCAGACCACTCTGCGCTTCACACCAACCACACCCGCTACAAACAGTTGAAGCCATTAAAAAAGCCGCGATCCATATCGCCAGAGGAAGCGCCTTAGTTGAACGTCAACCAATCCGAACCCCGTTTACCAAGACACGCCAATTGGGCAACGTTGTTCTCGATAGACACAACTCGACATGGCCGTGTTCGGCAGCAAGAAGTTCCAGTCCTCGGCGGCTACCAACACCTTCGCCGCCAAGTACCGGGCTCAGATGGCCAAGCGGCCGTTCCTCCTCTTCGGCTTACCCTTCGTGGCCGTCATGGTTGCGGGCTCGTTCGTCTTGACGCCGGCCACGGCGATCCGCTACGAAAAGTACGATAGACGGGTGCGACAGGTGACCAGGGACGAAGAACTGAATATGCGCCGGTCAGCGCGTAAGGTTGACATGAAGGAAGAATATTACGTAAGTCTTGCCAGTGAGCAGCGCAGCGGCTTGTTGCAAGGAAAGAAGACGCCTATGAGGCAGGACTGACGGAGGACAATAGCGACTTGCGGCCAAGGACATCGACAACTGGGAGCAGAAACGTGTCAAGCGATTTGCCGGCGAACATGACGGTATCATTGGCGAGTAGAGAGACCATCACGATGCGCCTTGCATCTCGATCGATTGAAGGGCCACAATGTATTGGTCCAGCTTCAAAATGCCATACTTGGTCTCGTCAACACGTGTGCATCGAGATGGGATGAAGATAAACATCAAAAAAGCAAGGAAAATTGCTTTCCCTCAGTCGCGGCCACAGACATCACGGCCAACTCCCTCGCTTAGAGTCTCAGCTCAAGCAAGAACGCGACCGCGGCAAGGCGCTTGTTGTGGCAGAATTATTGACGCAAGAATGTGCACATCTTCATCTCGGCAGCATCTGACCTTGATCAATGCGCACAATAACAATCAGCCACTCCGTGCCCAATCCCACAAGCCACCAAGGGTTCAAGACCAGCTAGGCGTCGCCTTTAACGTCACTCCAGAACCCCGTTGTCAATCATTATTTGGCAGGTCTCATGTGGCCGCCATAGCGGCCGTGGAGCGGGACGGGAGGCATGCACAAGATGATCACTATTAGGGGGAGGCGTCTGACTGTCGTGATTGGGACAAACACGATGCACAACATCAAGGCGGCTCTCTTGGGCGCTTGCACGCGGGATGACGCACCAGCGGGTCGATCTGGGTTGGCGGCATTATATGCGGCCACTCCCTGTCGAGTGTACAAACATGAAACATCCATCTTGATCTATCAAAGACACGTTTGGGAGATTTGGGAACTTGGCCGATGTTGATGCTGTTCCCATTTAGGCACGGCCACTCTAGCCCCTGTGCCCACCCCTACCGGGAAGAGTCTGATGCAGCGCGTGCCGCGCTCGTCGGCTCCCTTGATTGCTTCACAACAAGCCACGACATAGGCAGACATTCCAGATGAAGGCTGACGCTCAAGTTCAATATCTAAAGCAGAGGGGTTCTGTATCGATGTCGACTAGTAGCATGAGAATATCAACTGCATGAAAATATCAACATTTGAATCATTAAGCGTTCTTCGGCATACAACTGAGTGACCACATGTCCAACGCACAAGACAATTGTGCCTGCCCTGCATGCTCTGGCAATCGGAAGCCGCGGCTTGAATCTGACGACGATTATGGACGGACGATGGCACATCACGATTGAGGTGACTTTCTTTGACTGAATTACTGATGAGAAAGGCAACGGTTTCCTAATCGCATGCAGCAGCAGCAGCAGCATCGGCCTCTACCGGAGGAGGTGTCAATCAAGCCACTACCCTAGCGCAGAGAAGTCAGCCGTTCTGTTTCAACGTCTTCGTGTTCTCATCGGTCGATCAAGTCGCACCATCAACCCAAGGAAAAAGCCCGGTTGGAAACAGCCGCTGTCAAGACAGCGGCGCAGAGTCGCAGAGTCGCAGAAAGATTCAGGAGACGCGTCTCAGGACGGCGTACCGCGGACGGGGGACCAAAAGCATGTCGATCGGGATCGACGGGGCATGCCATGCCGTCACTTCGTTCCCCGCCAGCAGAGGAGCCCGGCAGGATGGTCCTGGGGGCGGTTCACTTTGTCAAACCTGATGGAACGAGAACGACATTTGGGTCAATGAATTCCAAAGGGCTGAGTGAGTGAGGTGCTCGGCACGGCGGATGCGCGGAGAGAGAGCGTTGTTGGACGAGCGAGTTCTCGGTCTGGCAGCTTTCGCACGGCGCCCGCGGAAAAAAGGTAGTGTTTGTGACAGTCATCAAGTAGCCTGACTGTCATCAAGTAGTCTGGTAGAGTCATCAGTAGACTGACTGTATTCTTGGAACGAACCCCCTTTTGATACGGATCCCGTTGGCTGAAGCTGATGGAAGTGCTTTGTGGCGCAGGAATATCTCCAGCGACACTAACACGCCGATTAACGCTTACGATTCGTTTGCGTGGATTGCTGACGCAAGGCTGTACTCAGGCCATCATAGCGTGCTTGGCGTGGTGTGTGCCGCGCAGCCTCGAGAGAGCCGAACGATCTCCTATTGTAATCCATCACGATGAGCAAGCGAGTGAGTCGGCATCCGCTGGAGAGGTCTCATTTCAAAACTCCCAGGTGATACAGCGCGCAGAAGCTTTGACCCGGGTGCCTGTAAAAGGCGATTTTCCGTCTCCTTCCCTTGCAACGCCCTCCGAATCATCGGGAATACAATCTGGGTGTCTGGCTCTAAGCATCACCACCAGGTGGAAATCTCGGCGAGGCCATCAGAGAAACGCACACCGGCCGGGCGGCGGTTAGGAATGGGGAGATATGGAAAGGGAAGTAAGATGATATAGCGAGTGGGGAGGAATGCTGAGCTGAAGAAAGAGGGTGTGCACCATGAGACGGGCTGATAGCCTTGGCTCAGTAGGCAACCTCCAATGGTTGACCGCGAATGGCTTCTTGAGCACCACCACAGCATGGTCGGCCCTCCACAAGAGTGCAATTACAAGATCATGATATGTGAAAGAAGGGTGACCACTCCCTGAATCCTTGCGGAGCTCTCTCTCGCTCGACCGACGCAATCGTGAGATCGAGAGGGAAGAATGTGTTGTGACCCCCTCCGACTGCCTCCGGACTTAATTGTCCAACCTATCAAAATCTATTGAAGTCCTTGGGGCTCATCACGATGAGGGGAAAGACATCAGCTGAGTGCTGCGAATTTGCTAGGATCCGGTGTAGGGGTTGTGGACTTGTGCTGAGCTAGCCAAGAGTCTGCCAGGGATGGTAATGAGGAAGTACACCTTTCTGGGGGAGCTCGATCAGCTGGAAGTGAGGGGCAAGACCGGGTGGCGTCGGATGCTTGGCCGGGCGTGGGGAAACTATACCGAGGCCGGGCGGTGTTTGGAAACAAGAATCCCGACGGCACCGGGGATTATGTAGGAAGACAAAGGCGCTTTCCAATGGTAGAAGGTCAAGATGAAGAAGCAGGGGGGAGGGAGAGGAAGTGAAACAAGGTGAGCTGTCACTATGTAAGACTCACTGCGGATGAGGGCATTGCATGCAGGATATGCGATGACAGTTGGCAGCGGCGGTTGCAAGAATTCAAAGAAAGGCATTGATGAACTCATTTTGCCATGTCGGCTTACCCATCATGCCCATTATGCGAACGGCGGCTGCTACCGACGCGTTTTCTGGAAGAATCGCATCTCTCATTTCTGATATCTGACCGCTTCTTTCACCACGCAAGGAGAGAGAGAGAGGGGAAACCTCATCTGTTCGTGACCTACCCTTACACTAGTGTGACAGGTTATCAACGGATCTCTGCACCGTTTTCTTTTAGCTGCAGGAACACGATGAAGATGCTGACCGTTCGCGGCCTAGCTCTCTCTAGGCTCCATCTCAGGCACCATCACATCAGAACGGAGAGTGCGTGAGTGTCACACGGTGGTGTGTGGGTTTGTGTGTGTGTGATTGAATGATTCCCGCACGACAGCGGATGTACTGCCAAGAAGAGGGATGTCGTTTTGCCATCCACAGCGCGCCAATCCTAAAGAGGCTGAGACGAGTGCCTATCCTACTTAAAAAAAAAAACACATCTCGAGATTCGTCAGCCACTCAGCAGCTGCGGCAGTGGCTTGTCGGTCTCTTTCCCCTCTATTCTCACTTCCGTTCACGCTAGGCGGCAGCGTCTTGCAGCGTTTTGCACTCTTTGGGCATGGCTCAGGTAGGATCGTCGAAATTTGGGGGAGGGGATTAGACCAGATCATGGTGTGCTACTGTACGGTCACGGTACCGGTTCGTCAGCAGCAGGAGAATAACTCCGAGAGACTGCGACTGTCTTTCCGAGGCAAGGGAGAGAGAGGTTTTTTTTTTTGGCGAGTAAGAGAGAGTGTTAAAGGATGCGTAGTGGTAGTGGTGGTGATGGTGGTGCCCCTGTCTCGGTCCGATATCGCGTTCTGTACACTTTCGGAGGGGGGAAAACACCGCGGCCGTTGATGATCACCCGCAACGCATGGCATGGATTGACGACGGGTTCAGATAGTGTCCTCCGATGCACGAT